TCATCCTCCTCATCCTCTTCGTCCTCGTCCTCGTCCTCCTCCTCCTCCTCCTCCTCCTCCTCGTCCTCTCCTTCCTCCTCCTCCTCCTCCTTCTCCTCCTCTTCGTACTCCTCCTCCTCGTTTTCGCCCTCCTCGTCCTCCTCCTCCTCCTCGTCCTCCTCGTCCTCCTCCTCCTCCTCCTCCTCCTCCTCCTCCTCCTCCTCGGGGCGGTCGGGGAACCCAAAGTGGTCGACTGCCGCCTGTATCGGCGGGTTGGAAACAGAGCCAGATACTTGCCAGAGAAGGCGGAGGGCGGCGGGAGGTTTCTGGGGGACCGCGCTCCCGCCAGCCGTGGGGGCCGTCCCCCTGGGGTGGGTGGGGCATGGGGTGGGAGAGGGTCGGGATGCCCCCCGCTGCAAGGGCTCCCCCCTGGCTCGGGGTCCATGTCCCTTCCTTACCTGGCGCGCGCGCGAGGAGGCGGCGCGGCCCGCTGACGCGCGGCGCGTCGCCAGGTCAGCATACCAGGTATGCGAGCCTGGCCGAACCAGTATTAAGCCTTGGCACTTTGGCAGAGATGCCGAGCCAGTATTGAGCCTCGGCTGAGTTCCCAGACGACTTAGTGGGACGCCTGTGACACCTTCAGGATGCGTGCTGGTCCTCCTTCCCCCTCCGCTCCGACCTGCCGTGACCGATGACACCACCAACAATGACGCGATACGTTGGAGCTCTCGTCTCGATCTTCGTTTCCTCTTGACGATCGTTGTCGGGAAAATACCGGGATTGCGTATGCGCCTGTGTCCTCCCGCGTCTCCTGAAGCTGGGACTTCGTCTACGAGAGGGGTGGCCCCAGAACCCCAAACTCTGGCTCAAATCTTTTACCAGTAGTCCCTGGCCCAAAGCACTTCGATCGATTCGAGGCCTGGGAGCTCTGGGGATCCCATGATGACGCACGGCCCCAGTGTGGATCCTGTAGCTCCGCGACGCCTCCCGCGCCCCCTGGGTCGCGCAGACGAACGAGAAGGGAGGCAGAGGGAGAGAGGGGGCAGGGGGGAGGTGGGCTGCCCGATGATCATGTGTCACGCGGCTTGCATGTCCTTACTTTGAGTACCTCAATAGTTTCGGGGCCCCAGACTATATGGGGCCCCTCGGACGAACAGGGTCCCCTGCCCCAGTCTACAAGGGCCCCCCCCCCAGACTACAAGGACCCCTACCCCGGACTGCAAGGACCCCGCCTGGACTACAGGGCCCCCCGCCCCGGACTACAGGGACCCACCCCCCAGAACTACCGGTCCCCCCCCCCCCCGGACGGCCCCCCCCCGGACTACAGGCCACCCCCACACTCCTGAGGTACTCAAAGTAATTCTGGCCTCGGGACGGGAGCGAGTTAGGGTCTTGGGACCGCCAGCGAGAATCCTGCGTAAAACACCTGCCCCCTGGGCGGGGTCAAGATGCCCATGATCGGGCGTTCGCAGAACTGGGTTTAGTGGGACCTGGCTTAGTGATGTGCACTGGGGAACGCCACCCCCGCCCCACTCCACTAGCCGGAACTGCCGTCACCCGAAAAACACCAGCTACGGCAGACCTGCCTGGCTTCGTGATTCCAGTCCATATTTTGGGCTTCGGGGCCCAATCACTAACCGGCTCCCCTTAACCGGGGTCCTGGCTGTACCCGACATGGGGCCCGCTGCGTACAGGGGCGCCCGAACCTGCGCGCCTCTGGCGCCGGCGTGGCTCACCTGCTGCTGCTGCTGCTGCTGCTGCTGCTGCTGCTGTTGCTGCTGCTGCTGCTGCTGCTGCCTGCAGGACGCGGCGACGGCAGACAGAAACCTCCCAGATGGGGTCGGAGGATCGCGCCGAATCGCCCATGCATCGGCGATGCGTCGTCCACGTCGGCGATGCACCGGCGCCGTCGCCGTGGAGAGCGTCGGGCTCCACACCGAGCCGCGTCGCCGGTGCACTGGCTCGGCTGCGCGATCCTCCGACCGCATCTGCTCGGACCCCATCTGGGAGGGCCAGGCCAGGAGAAAAACCCAGAATTCGGCGGCACGCACCAGGTTATGTTGCATCCTCGGGGGACCATGTCTGTCCCGTCGCTGTCCTATCCGCGTCGAATCCGTGTCGAATCCATGTCGGACTCGTCGGATCCGTGTCGAATCCGCGTCGAATCCATGCCAAGTCCGCGTCGAGTCCGCATCAAGCGTGCGTCGGACACAAGAAAAGACACCAATTTTGGGGACAGGCGAGGTCCCCCAGAGATGCAACGCAAACCAGGGGGTATGGGGGGGAGGCTTCTTAGAGAAAGGGGCCGCGCTTGAGAAAGTGCGGGCCCTACGTCTGCAGACGAGAGGCCCGCGCCCTGTGAGGAGCGGCAGGCTTCTGCAGAACAAAGCGAAGACGGCACACACCTAAACTGTTGGCGCTCCGCGCGGATTTCTTGGGTCTGCGCTGGACGGCTCGGGCGAAAGGGGGGGATAGCAAAGGGGGGGCGAAAGGGGGATAGCAAATTTCGTAACCCTTTCCCAATCCCCCCCTTTCCCCCGGCTCGAACTGGACCCCCTCCTGGGCGCGCGGAGCGCGCCAGGGGCGGCGCCGGAGGCGCCGCCGGGCGGGGCCCATCGCGGATCCCAGGCAGCCGCGCGGAGCACCAAAAGTTTATGTTCATGCCGGTTTTTCTTCTTCGATTCTAAGTAGCCTTAGAACGGGCATGTGCGCCTACAGGCGGATTTGGGGCGAACAATGAAAGATACTCCAAACATACCCCCGGTAATCAGAAGATATGATCCACGAATCGTCCCTCTGGAGAACTTGTTTGACTGTTTTTGATCCTTACTCCTGCAGAGGGGACACGCCCGCCTTCCTTCCCCTGACCTTCCAGTGCTAAAAAATAGCCCTCCAGACCTTTGGACCTATCTGGGCTGCCTAAAACCTCGACTGGAATTACGATATCGAGGTCCTGGTGCTATTTTTTTAGCCCTCCTGGAAGGTCGGGGTCTACGTAGCCTTCCCCCCTCCCCCGCGACCCCCGTCTGCGCGGCGGGCCCTGGATCGCCCGAGCACTGCGCGCGGCAGGCGCCGGCGCGCGTGCCCCGTCGCGGCCCGTGTCCGCGGGCGGCCGCGGCGCGCGGCACCGGGAGCAGAAGCGGCCCGGCGGCGCTGCCCGGGAGGCACGGAGGGGAGACCACATATGTTGGGCAGGTCGTGCACCACCGCTGCCACATGCAGGACGGGGGGGAAGGGCGGAGGAGGAGGCCCTCCTCCTCCTCCTCTTCCCCCACCTCCTCCTCCTCTTCCTCCTCCTCCTCCTCCTCCTCCTCCTCTTCCTCCCACTCTCACCTATGGTAGTGGTGGTGGAACATTGGCCCATCAGACCATTCGACGCCGTCGAGGCACCAGTGAGCTTACTGCGCCCTGGAAACGACAGGGCCGTTTTCGCTACCGATTCCGTTTTGCCGCTTTCTTGCTACCGGTTCCGTCGCCGCTTGCTTTGCCGCTTCCGCCGCCGTTCTGTTGTCCGTCTCTGGTTCCGGCTCCAATCCCGGAACCGTCCCTTCTGCCGTTGCTGGTCGCGGCTTTGTTTACTCCAGATTTCGTAATAAAAAGGGAGGGGGTCTCAACCCTCCCAGACGAGAAGTTTTAGACCCCCCCCGTGGGAGAACCCTCCAAAACATCGTCCCCAGACCCCCCCAGGCCCTCCAAGATAGCCTGGAAGAGACCCCCCCCGAAATGAGACCCCCTCCCTTTTATTACGAAATCTGGAGTATGGTTCCCATTCGCAAGAGACGCTTTCCCGAAAACGGTGACACCACGGACCTGCCGCTTCTGGGGCCCACTGAGCGGGTCAGAAGCGCTGGGGTACCACTGGGCGACGCAGAGAAGCGGGCCTCACGCGAGAAGGCATCGCGACCGTTGCGCCGCGGCTTACGCCGGGCGCCGCACAGGGCGCTTCCGCACGACCTCGCGCGGGCAGCCTGCGCGCCGATGTCGGCGCATGCGACCCCGTTTCGGTGCGTCGCTCCAAAATGAGGGTGGCACTCTCACTGCGCGTAGTAGTCCTCCTGGACGAGCGGGGCGGTCCGACGGGAGTCCCCGTCGACCGCACACAGGTCGAGGAACCCCGCGCTGGGGCCGGGGTCCACCTGCCCCTCAAAGTTGCAGGGGTTCAGGCATACGTCCAAGCATAATACTCGCCCCCCATGCAAGCCCCAAACACAGCCCGCAATGGCACCAAGCACAGCCGATGTTGACTGCTTCTGCTCCTGTGAAGGGCATGTTTGGCTGTGTGGGTCATAACCTCCTAAGGAAGATGCCAACTACACGCGCTAACAGCGATCCTCGCCAGTCCCATACCGGGCCCGGCATACGCCTCCCCAGCCAAGCCGAGAGAGTGAGCCGATCTGGGACCAGGGGCCAGACAGGAGCGTTGTCCGTGCATAGCTGGTGCCCCCCCCCCAGGGCCCTGGGAGTGGCACGCTCGAAATGGGGACGGACACAAATGGGTACGTACGCTGCCCAGCGGCAAACGGTACCCCAAAACCGATGTCGGCCGCTGTTGGGGAGGCGATGCTTGTCTCGAGCAGATACCGGCCGTGGCGATGGCCGACTGCGGCTTCGGTGCAAGATGGGCTGGGACGGCTGCTGGCTTTCACCCCCCTCCTTCCCTACAGCCCTCGTCAAAATTAACCTCAAAAATGTCCGACGTGGTTGAACTGCTTGTCGGAAGATCTGGGGCCGAGTACCGATGAGTGCGGGGTACTTGCATGCGCCGCCCCTCCAATGTCGGTCGACGTCAAACCTTCGAGTCGACTTCGGTCAGACTATCTTTGCCCTCGCCCCGACATTGAAGGAGCGGCGCGTCGACATCGAGGGGCGCGCCGAAATCGAGGTGACGTGCCAGCATCTGTTGAGGTTAATTTTGACGAGGGTAGTGGGAGCCTGTTGGAGGCCTTTGCGGGCCTCTCTGGGACATCTTGGGGCTGCTTGGGGTCTTGCTGGGAGCTTGCTGCGGCGTCTTGGGGTCGTCTCGGGCCGTCTCCGGGGCTGTTGGGCCGTCTGGCGACTTCAGAGGCCGCCTTTGGGGCCTTTCTGGGTCATCTTGGTCCTGGTGCCGTTTTAGAGCCTCCAAGAGCCATTTTGAGAGTCTCTTGGGCCGTCTTGAAGCCCGTCTTGAGTAGGCCACCCAATTTCGCGCCTCGCGCCCCGCCATACGAGCCACGCGTGGCTCTCTCCTCGCCCTCGCGCCGCCGCCCGATCCGGGCCGCGGCGCGCGCGACGCGCGCGCCCGCCTCGCTCGCGCTGGCGACCAGGGGGCTGAGGCTCAGGGGGCATTTTGGGGGGGACCGGCTCAGTTGGGAGACATCGGGCCTGAATCGGCGATCTATCTATCTATATATATATATATACATATCGGAGGCTGGGGGGTGAGATCGCAGTACAACGGAGTCCCCCCGCCGGGAAATCGAGTTTCGAGTTCGTGCTCGTGCCGTGCGTGCGGGCGAGGCGAAGCTGCGTGGGCCAGCGAGAGGAATTCACTCTGCTGTCGCTAGGGGTCCGCCAACACAAATGTTTCCCCCCCCCCTGGCCTTGTCAAGCGGTAGCCCACGTTGTCCCGTCGGTTGCCCGCCGATCGTTCATCACAGTTGTCGTCCTGAGCCACCCCCCTCCCCCCACCCCCCCACAACCTCCTGATCACCCGCAGGGTGGTCGTATAGGTGTGTGTATATATATACACACACCTATATGTATATGTATATATATATATATATATACATATATACATATAACGGCGCACCTGGTCCGGGGGCCCGGGGCCGGGACCACGACCACAAATGTGGGGACCGGGGGCTCTGGAGGCGCCGGAGGCCCACAGAATGCCATTAGAAAGCGCCAGGAGAGCCCCAAGACGGTCCAAGAGAGACCCGAGACACCCAAAGGTCGCTCTAAGACGCCCAGCATTGCCTCCGGACGGCTTCAGAAGCCCCCAAGACGCCCCAAAAGGCGTCCAAGCCGCGCCCGAAGAGATCTCCAAAAGGCGAAAATAGCCCCGTTCCCTTCGTAAAACGTATATTTTTACTACATCAATTGTTTTCGCTGCCGTACAGTTCATGACGACGCCGGAGGCCCCCAAGACAGCCCCAAGCCAGCCCAAGAGGCGCCCCAGAGGGCCCCAAGACAGCCCAAGAGAGCCTCAAGACGGCCCAAGAGGCGCCCAGAACAGCCCAAGTGCGGCCCTGAGGCCCACAAAAGGCTACCAGAAAGGACTCGGGACGTTCCAAACGCGACCCGAGACGCCCAATGGTCGCACCAAGACGCCCAACATCGCCCCAGACGGCTTCAGAAGCCGCCAAGACGCCCCAAAAGGCCTCCAAGACGCGCCCGAAGAGATCTCCAAAAGGGCAAAATAGCCCCATTCCCTTCGCAAAACGTATATTTTTACTACCTCAATTGTTTTCGCTGTCGTATAGTTCTTGACCACATCAGAGGCTCCCAAGACCGCCCCAAGACAACCTAAGTGGCGCCCCAGAGGGCCCCAAGACAGCCCAAGAGAGCCCCAAGACGGCCGATGAGGCGCCTAAAACAACCCAAGTGCGCCCCTGAGGCTTACAAAAAGCTACCAGAAAGGATTTAATACGCCCAAAGGTCACCCAAGACGCCCAACATTGCCTCCAGACGGCTTCAGAAGCCCCCAAGACGCCCCAAAAGGCCTCCAAGACGCGCTCGAAGAGATCTCCAAATTGCAAAAATAGCCCCATTCCCTTCGTGAAACGTATATTTTTACCATATCAATTGTTTTCGCTGTCGTACACTTCTTGACGACATCGAAAGCCCCCAATACTACCCCAAGACAGCCGGAGAGGCGCCCCAGAGGGCCCCAAGACGGCCCAAGAGAGCCCCAAGGCGGCCCAAGACGCGCCCAAAACAGCCCAAGTGCGCCCCTGAGGCCCACCTACTGGATTTGGCTCAGGACTCTCGTGATATCAGAGAAGGTACGAACACCGTTTTATATTCAGCTGTCTGCGGCATGCCCCGCCACCGTGCCAGCGCAGCTCTTGTGACACCTCTTGTCTCTATTGAAGACGCCCCAAAACAGCCCAAGTGCGCCCCTGAGGCTCACCTACTGGATTTGGCTCAGGACTCTCGTGATATCAGAGAAGGTACGAACACCGTTTTTATATTCAGCTGTCTGCGGCATGCCCCGCCACCGTGCCAGCGCAGCTCTTGTGACACCTCTTGTCTCTATTGAAGACGCCTAATGCGAATCACCACCGCCCCCTTGCCTTATTGGAAACGTTTATGTGGCCAAACGTTGGGCCAAAGTTTGTCCAAGGTATTGGGCTATGTGTTCCCACAGCCGTTGTGGAAACCCCTGGGGAACACTTGGGGGAGGAAGAGGGAGAGGATTAGACGCAGGAGCAAAAGGTGGAGGAGGAGGAGGAGGAGGAGGAGGAGGAGGAGGAGGAGTAGGCCTCTCGGGGGCCTCCTGAGGGCCTCTTGGGGGCCTCTTGGGAGCTTCTCGGGGCCTCTTGGGCCGTCTTCTGTCGTCTGACGCCTGCGGAGGCCGTCTTTGAGGCCTCTCTGGGCCGCCTTGGGGCCTTCTTGGGGCGGTCCAGGGCAGTCTTGAATGTCTATTGGGCCGTCTTGGAACCCTCTAGGGACCTTCTTGGAGGCCTCTTAGGCAATCTTGGGGCCCTCTTGGGCAGTCTTGGGGCCTTCTTGGGCGCCTCTTGGGCTGTTTTGGGGCCATCTTGGGGGCCTTTTGGACCTTTCTGGGCCGTCGGAAGCCAAACAAATGAGAACGCTAAAATCGCTTCAAACGTGCCGCCGCATATTGTCGACCTCTGCGCGGCGTCGGACGCCGAGCCGCTTGGCCAAAATATTCCGGAAGCCGTTTGGCTAAAATATCTTTGCGGGCGCTCGCCCTTCTCTTGCGCCTTGCTTAGGTTCAATTGGGCTTAACCTACGCTCATGTGGGGTAGTTCGAGGGCACCTGGAGGCTCTACGCGGCCGTCTAGGCGTAGGATGCGCAGGATGGGTCACACGTGACAGCTTTCGTCTTCCCTTGTGGACTAGCCCTTCTGAGTCGTCAAATTCGACACCTCTTGTTATCACGTTTCTCCCGGCTCTCATGAACACTGCCCGGATTGTCTAGGGGCCCACCTACGCTTGTGCGGGGTTTGGATGGGGCTGTCGCGTGCTTGGCCCGAGATGCAGGATGCGCTGGATGCGTTGCGTGTGGTACCGAGCGTCTTCTCTTCTGGACAAACCACCCCCCGTCGTCATCGGCCTGTTTCTGGGGTTGCCTTGGGCTTCTGTGGGGCGGTTTCGGAGAGCCCTGGAGGTCCTCCAGGGCTGTGTTTGGCCAACTAACCCCAGCGTCGGGTGCCGAAGAGGGAGAGGATGAGAAGAGGGAGCAAAGGGAGAAGGAGGAGGAGGAGGAGGAGGAGGAGGAGGAGGAGGAGGCAGTAGGCCTCTCGGGGGCCTCCTGAGGGCCTCTTGGGGGCCTCTTGGGAGCTTCTCGGGGCCTCTTGGGCCGTCTTCTGTCGTCTGACGCCTGCGGAGGCCGTCTTTCAGTCCTTTCTGGGCCGCCTTGGGGCCTTCTTGGGGCGGTTCAGGGCAATCGTGGATGTCTATTGGGCCGTCTTGGAACCCTCTAGGGACCTTCTTGGAGGCTTCTTCGGCAATCTTGGGGCCCCCTTGGGCAGTCCTGGGGCCTTCTTGGGAGCCTCTCGGGCTGTCTTGGGGCCATCTTGGTGCCTTCTGGGCCTTTCTGGGCCGTCGGAAGCCATTGGCAGCGGGGGCGTCACCACGCAGAGTTTTTCAAGATCAGACACTTTGAAAACCAATTGTTTCCATTGCCAGAAAGTATTCCAGGCATCCCAGTTGGGGTCCGAGTCGATGGGGTTGGAGGATCGCGCCGTATCGTCGATGTATCGGCGATGCGGCTCGATGTGGAGCCCGAATTGTTCCACGCTGGAGTCGCCGATGCATCGGCGATGCATCGCCGATGTGTTGGCGATGCGGTGCGATCCTCCGGCCCCATCTACGCCGACCCCCTCTAGCATGTGTGCATGTGTGTATGTGTATGCCTGTGTGTATGTATGTATGTATGTACGTACGTACGTACGTGCGTGCGTGCGTGCGTGCGTGCGTGCGTGCGTGCGTGCGTGCGTGCGTGCGTGCGTGCGTACGTACGTACGTACGTACGTACGTACGTACGTACGTATGTATGTATGTATATATGTATGTATGTATGTATGTATGTATCATATACTTGGAAACCGGGGGCCAGGGCCCCGGGCCGGGACACCCTCCCGAATTTCCCCCCCCCCCCGTAACCCACTTTGCCCCCGGGCGTCCGGAGGCTCTTTTGCGCCCCTGGAGGCGTCCACCACGGCTTCCGGGGACGGCAAGAAGCCGCCAAGACGGCCCAAGAGCGCTCCAAGACTCTCAAGATAGCCCCATCAAGGCCCAAGGGGCCCCCAAGAAGCCCCAGGGGCGCTCCGAGAGGCTTTCCAAGAGAGCCCAAAGAGGCAAAAATCATAGATTTTCATTGTGTTTTTCAATGTTTTCATTGTGTTTTTCTATGTTTTTTGCTTGCCCGCGTTTTCGGGCTTCTGACCTTCCAAGATTGCCGAGGAAGCCTCGAACATCGCCCCAAGACGGCCCAAAAGGCCCCCGAGAGGCCCCCAAGACAGCCCAAGAGGGCGCCCAAACGGTCCAAGAGGCGCCCAAGACGGCCCAAGAGGGCTTCAAGACGGCCCCAAGAGGTGCCAAAGAGGGGGAACACGAACCGACAATGGAGATTTCCGCCCCAATAGGCCCCCAAGAGGCCCCCAAGAGGCCCCAAGAGGCTTAAAAATGCCCCCATCAGAGACCCCAAAGAGGCCCCAAGATGCCCCAAAACGGCCCCCCGGAGGCTTCGAAACATTTCAAAATTGCCTCCCCCCAAGAACCACTCCAGAGGCCCCACGAAGCCCACTGAAGGCCCCAAAGAAGCCCCTACAGTCCGCAAGCAGCCACGGACGAGCCCCGCGAGGCATCAGAATTGCCTTGAAAATGTTCTTTGGAAGCTTCGCAAGAGACCCCAACAAGCATCCAAATGCCTCTGACCCACAACACAGGCACGGTGTCGGCTTCATCCGTTGCCCTCCTGTTGATTTGGCCCCAGGACTCACGACGGCCCCAAGAGAAGGGCAAGATGGCTGAGATCAGTCCGAACCACAAGCGGACGCTGGGGCATCGGTTCCATTCTTTATCTTCCCTCCTCTCTCTCGCCCCCCTCCCCTCAGTCCCTCCTTGCCCGCTCCCCCATACATATGGCCTCGCTTGATCGAGTAATCATCTTGTACAGCGTGAGCTCCACAGTGAGATGGGCCGCAAACACCCAACGAGACCCTGGACTAACCCCCCGCGGCGCCCAAGAGACCCTTCTCTGCTGGGGCCAGACTCATGTTGATGTTTCAAACCATGCTGAAACCATTCGTCGGTACGTGCATTCGTGCAGCCGTGATTTTGTCAATGCGCGCAGCCGTGGTATTGTCAAGAGCCTGCGCTTGCTGGAACCTAAGCGCGCGCGAAGCGCGCGCGTGGTTCTAGCATATATATATGTGTGTGTGTGTACCTCACCGATCGATTGGCGATAAGCTTCAGATTCTGAAAGGCGATCGCGCCTGGGGTGGGTGGGGGAATCGGGCCCCGATCGGCGATGAATGGGCGATATGCGGGGCATCGATGCGGCACCTCTCCCCCTCCCCTATGAGCCTGCCCCCCCTTGCAGCGCTGCCCCTGGCCCAGACCTCCGACGACATGATATTGCTCCACGACACCGACCCCCAGACCCAGACCCCCTCGAGTCATGAAAAAATCACGACGGGAGGTTGTTCCACATTTTCGGCCTCCGGGGGCCCCTACCGGGCCTCGGGACCGTCGAAAAACGACTCAGGATGAAACACTGGTCCTGGGGAATGGGTCCAAACCTCTGGGGGTCGACGTTATGAAAAAATCATGACGTTGGGGGTCTGGGGAGGTCTCGACCCATTCCCTGGGACTGGGTTTTCACCCCGAATCGTTTTCGACGGCCCCGAGGCCCGGTGAGCGCCGCGATGACCTCCCGACAGGGTTTTGCCATACCCCGAGTGGGCAGTGCAACATGGGAGAAGATCGCCAGTGGAGCCCTGGACCCACTCTTTCTGCACCATTTTTCGAGCCGCATCCATCTGTGAGGGTCCCAGGGCCCGAAGCTGGGTAAAAGCGCCTGTTGTGACACGATTGCAACGCCCAGCTCTGAAGGGGCAACGCTGCCCCCGAAAAGGGGGGCAGACATCTGGCCGCCCCAATCCCACCAGCCCTCGCCTGGACATCGTTTCTGGATGGGCTGGTGGGGATACTTTTTGGGTTCGCGGCTCCAAAGCGAGGGACATGGAGCGGGCACAACGTCCGGGGCGCGGTACGTAGATAATTGGCGCGAGATTGCCGCAGAATCCAGCGGACAACACACGCAGTGGCGCACCTGGTGGGGATACGCGAAGCGCCTAACATTTGTTCGATGCGTGTTCCCTTCCAGGGCCTGGTTGTCGTCCTGAGTCTTTTTCTGATGGCCCCGAGACCGGGAGAGGGCGAGAGGGCCCTCAGAGCCCGGAAGTGGCCCAAAACCCGCCGCTCCAATTGTTCCAGGGCGTCGGATCTCTTTGATAGGAGATCGACTGCTGGATCGATTTACCCCCAAATTGATTTTCTCGTAGATCTACGTCGCCTTCTACGCATATTTCATGGACTTGACGAATCAATCAAGTTTGGGGAAATTCAGCTATGTAGTCGATCCCCTACTCAATCTCTTTTGGACACACGAAATGGGTACGGACAAAAAAAGGCACAATGCCCAACAACAAATGTGGTCCAAAACCGACAGCTGCTGCTGTTGGGCAGGTGGCCCTTTGTCTCCAAAGAAGACACCCGCGGCGGCGCGGACAACGAATCCTGCTCAAAATGAACATGAACTGCAGTTGGGCATCGCCCCCATTCGTTCCGTGACCAATTCGATCGTTCCGATCTCTCGGCTACACGCAGGAGTGACCCTGGGTAAGAGTGACCTCTGGTGCGCGGCTCTTTGGGGGGCCGCGTGGGGACCGAACCCGGGCGCACAAGACGCTGCTATCGCACCGCGTCCGGCGATCGGGGGACCCCGGCGGGCCCGCACCAAAGGTCACTCTGGCGAAAGGTCACTCTTAGAGAAAGGACAAAAAAACAGAAGCCTAAACTTTTGGCGCTCCGCGCGGATGTCTTGGATCCGCGCCGGACCCCCCCCGCCCTGGCGCGCGGAGCGCGCCCTGGGGGAGCGCCGGAGGCGCCCCGCCACGGGGGGCCCAGCGCGGATCCAGGAAATCCGCGCGGAGCGCCAAAAGTTTCGGTTTGTGTGTGTTTTTGTTCTTCGTCGAACTCCTACGTTCGGCGGTGGACACACCTCCCTTCAGTGAACCTCCCCTCAGTGAAGACGGCCTGGGGCCGAAACCGACGGACCTGGGCCT